TCAATATAACATCCGACCACAGTAGCAGACTACTATGTGTTCAATTATTAAGCTCCAACCAAAGATGAAAAAGATCGCAATCAAAATGTATTTAATATATAGAATATACCTATAAAGTTACAAATCAAAAGGCTTCAGCTATTAGTTATATGCCCAAATTATAATGTTAATTTATGCTGAACAGATTAGCAACTTATTCATATAAAATATTTTTTATTTTTAATAATGTCCATTTCAAAACTTTATTAATTATAGGTTATCGCTTGATAATTTCTTTCTTATTTTTTTCTCCATCATTCGAGCATTTCTCCAAGCTCAAATGAAATGTAAATTTTCAAGCATTGTTATTAGCATTAAATTACAAATTGTTTTAGGAACACGTTGATGGCATTTGTTTGAAGTAATCTAATAGGCTGGCTGGATGGCTGGATGACTGGCTGGCTGGTACCTTTATACTTTTATAGCCTGGCTGAGTGGGTACACAGTTGTGGCCTATAAAGTTTGTCAGTAAATTTTTACATTCCCTACGCGGGAATGCATCCCGCGGCTGTCGTTCCAAAAGCAGAATGGAAATTTCAGCTAAATGCTATTCAAATTAAATCACCTGCAATCTGTACGGACAGCAGGGACAGGCACAGAAAAATTTGTGGGCTGATTTATTTAAATAATTTAAAAAAAGAAAAGACAAACAATCTAAAGTAATGGCAGCTGTGTCTAGCCCTAAGATAACAATTGAGCAGCCGGGCAGCTGGGCAGATGGGCAGACAAAGCGTTTGCCTCAACACAAAAGGCCAAAAGTTAATGTGTGCCTAAGTAGCAGGCATGTCGACCCCAAACACACACAACAATCCACTAGCACACACACACACACACACACACACACACACATTTAAACACTTGACTATCACCCATTAAAGTTGGCCAACTGAATTTTGGGGCTAGCTTTCTCTGGCTGCCATATGGCCCACATCCGACGACTGCGTTTTTGGCCTTTTGTTTGCGGCGTCGGCGTTGATTACTTTGGGGAAATGTGCGTGAAAGGTAACGGTGCGTACCTGTCCTGTCATTTACCGCTTTTCGCAGCTGCCACTGTTGCTGCCTCTGTCCGCGTCCAAGGCTGATTTATTTGCAGAGTGTTTTCGTGGCTCTGATTTTCTAGACCATAAACAGCTCGCTATGATTTTAAGTTATTATTGCTTGGCCATAAATCTGATATTCAATAATGCGCAGACATCACGTAAATCATAACATCATCTTTATTTGTCCTAAACTCAATTTTACGGCAAGCTTAAGCCATGCGCATAATATTGGATTAGATAAGCTATGACTAACTTCATAGAGCTGCTACTGTACAGGAAGAGGAAGTAAGAACAAGAGAGTAAAAGGGGATTTCTTCTTAAAGCGTAATAGTCACTGTAGAATTGAAGTGCTGTCAATTTGGCTGACAACTATCTGACCGCAATAGAAGCTAGTAAGTGAAATGAAAAGCGAGAAAGGAAATACAGGTTGAAATATGTCCAGCGGGAATAGTCTTCAGTAGACGTGCGAGCATTGAGAGTATATGTTATATATTATACATAATGATTAGCTCGGTTACAAGTATTATAGTTTGTAAGTATATAATAATAGTCGTATTACTCAATGGTCTATAGTTTATAGCTCAGTTCATTCAGATCCCAACAAAATATGATTCCAATTTTTACCCTTTTTAATCGTAAAATATGAAGTATATATATTAAGAGTCAGCAGTAATAAAAATTTGCATATATTAAAATTTAAAATATATTTTTGAACTTTAGTAGGATTTCTTTAACCTAAATTCAAATAATGACAGAAAAAAGTGTTTATTAAAACTCTTTGATAACTTATAAAATTATCCTCAAAATGATGGAAAATAGATAAATATTATATGAGATTATCATGATTAGGATATTCATTACGAATAAATTTCATATTTTATCAAATTGAATTATATTTGCGCAAAACCCAAAAATATATAAATATACTTGAAGTGTTTATGGCTCAATTTAAATTATAATGAAATATATCGAAAATTCACGATTAACGTTCGATTTAAACGTAAAATCTCTGCGGCTGCGGCAAAAGCAGTGAATTGATACATTTCAATCTGTGCAAATTGGATTCGCTTTGATTCAATGATTGGTTTGTGTTTCAGCAATCGGTTATTTAATATATATTTTAATTAAGCATACGCAGCGTGGACGCGGTCATAATATCGCATTATGTTTGATTTACAGTGAATAACAATGAAATTAAGCGAGCGTAGCGCAGGTTTGAGTAATGAGCGTATGGCATAGCAGTGATGATGGCGCTGTAGTGGGCGTGGTACAGTGAAGCATCCACTCGAATGAAATGCACAAAGAATTGTGTTTTCAACATTTGCCCATTAAAAACTCATTAACAAGACACAATGGCTTGACAAATAATTCGAAATGCATTCACTTCCGGTCACACACATATACATATAAATATATATATATATATATGTTTTAATATATACATATTTATTTGTATATATGCTTACTGATTAAGTCACACGCTGCGCATACGCCGTGTTCCCTGGGCTGGTATGTGAGCAGCGTTTTATTCAATCTTTTCTGCATTTTATCAATGCAATTACACAGCATCGTATCGTACATAGCATCGAGCTACTGACAAATACACTGAATCTGGCTGTCAGTCGTTGACAGCCACATTAATTTGACAGCCAAAAAGCCGAACTACCAAGGGAATGGAGTATGCAGCTCCAGCTGCGGGCAGCCTTTGACAAATGAAAGCAAACAAATTTTCAAATTGTCAAGTGCAAAATATGATGGAGTCGCAGATACTCTATAAGAAGCCTAGCTTGTAATATAGTGTGCTAACCATTATTTTCCTCTACTGTCAATGATATTTTATCGATCAGAATGATTATCAGAGTTTATTTATTAAGATTTGGCAAAGATACAATAAAATTTAATAGCTTTTTATTGTTTTTAGCAAAAGTTATACGTTATTAAGTGTACCGAAATATCTTTTGAAGATAGCTAAGTGTATTGCCCATATTATCCATTAAAGCAGCAGTATTTCATGAGTCTTACTATCTATATGCTTCATAAAGCAGTAAGTGCTTAAAAATGTTTGCAATAAATTTGGGTTAAGTTCTAAATTAAGCTTTCTGCTGGCTTAAAAAATCTGCTGCATGTTAGTTTTTTATCAATAAATTTAATTAAAATTATTTAAAAATTAAATTATAATATGAATAACTTAGTTTTCTGCCAAAAACAAGACAAGCTGAGCAATATACCATATGTGGTCGTTATATAGGTCGAGTTAAAGCATCGATATGTATACATATTGGATTAGATGAGTGTAATTTCCATTTGGAATTAGAGCTGGAAATAATTGTTAATCATAGAAATACTAAGCAAATTAAATTCGTTTCCATTTTTGTATATTATTTTACAGTTTTAATCATCACTTTGCATTAATGTCTACAGATATACCCTGTTACCCAGGACAACTTGTCAGTGGCAGATTCACCTCTGTTTGTCTTTCAGCCCTGTCAACCTGCCGATATGTTTGGGCTAATGAATGCAGATTCTTGGATGTGTGTGCTTCACTTGCGAGTCGCGTGATTTATTAGTCTACTATTTGTTATATATATTTTTTAAGGCTTTTTTACTTGGTATTTTTATATTGCATGCTTATAGGCGCCTCGTTTGTCATTTCGCTGCCAGCAACAACAACAAACAGAAACAACAACAAACAAAACAACAAAGCTCCATTTACGCTTATCTGCACAGCAGGCGTGCGAGAATCCGAGGGAGAGCGAGCGAGTAAGGGAAAGGGACAGGAGCTGTCTTTTTACTTACAAATTACTTGAATACTTTGCGCCTGCTGTTACGCGGAAACGGAAGTGGAAGTGTTTTACAGCGCCCACACACACGCACTCACACACACGCGTTTTGTGTGCCTGGGACAATTTTCTACTTGCAACTTTTTGCCTCAATCATAAAATCAGAGCTTTTTACCCTTTACGGCATAATCAGTGCATGTGTGTGGGTGTGCGTGAGTGTAGCTGTGAGTGGGTGTGTGTAAAGCGCCGCTGGCTGCAATTGTCTTGTCTTTTATAGTTGCGCCTGTTTGCGCTTTGGCTCTGCACTTGCCACACGCGCTGAAGCGGAGCTCGTGAACAAACACGAAAGTCACGAGAGTTGACGGGGACTTAAAAGTGAGAAAGATAACTTCTTGCTGAAGTATGTGGAAAGGTTTGGCCTGTCAGATTGTTGCGGCTTAGCTTATATATAAAGCTAATTAGTTTCACATGAAGGAATTTCTTGAGCTTACTATGCGTGTGCCTTATTTCTCGTAATTGTTAATTAACAGCTTATATATAAAATTAAAATTCAAAGCGCTCTATTGAACGAAAATTGCATTGCAAATACTTATGCCAACAGTAAGAGACATGAAACGCATGTATTGAAATCAATATTTCTGTTAGTCAGACACCATGAGCTATCAAAGCTGTAGTCAGTGATACATTGAGCCCTTTGGCATGTGTATTGGATAGTGTTAGAGACAGTCTCTAGTAGAGACTTCTTTGCAGACTGCAGTTTCGAGGTTATAAGATGAAAGAATAAATGATTCTGAGCTGCAAATGTTATCAACTATTTTTCAGATTTCTTATTATATGACAATGCATTTTTAACTTTAATCTAATTTAAATTAACTAAAGATCAGTAGCAAGACAGATTCATTTGTTATGAATTGAACGGCTGTCTATTGCTAAAAGTCAAAAATGTTTTTCGCGCCTTCCAAATATTATATATGTGATTGATCAGCTTGTGTACTCGAGCTTAGTTTCTATGGTGTCTTTGATATTAAATTCGATTTTTAATGATGCCTTAAATCCAATAAAATTCGAGTTCAGTTTAACACTAAGCTAATTAATTTATTTTTCTAGAGTTTTACAATAAATTCGTTAAATATTACGCGTGTTATCGTATTGCTCAGGTGGTTGGTCCATTTGAGTTAGCCCATCTCTAGCTGAATGCCACTGTGTTGGAGGGTTCGCTGGAGGCCAACTGGCGCAGCGACTACATTTGGCACTTAAGCCAGGATTTTTATTATAAAAGGGTTACGCTATATATACAAAGATGTATAGAGCGCATAGTCGTGCGGATTGCCACACATAAAACGAGTAACTCCCCTACAGCAGATTTTTATTGCTAACCAAAGATATTGTCATAGATTTTGTGCCAGATACCGTTGCGCTGGAACATTGAGCTGACATTCGCCTGCTCCACATACAGTTGATAGCGCCTGAGGGTCTTGGGGTCGGCTGGCCCCCAATTGGGCAGTGGCTCAAAGGCTTTGCGTATGCGCATCAAAAGACCCAGCTCTACGGGTTGGCGCCTCACCGCGGGCACCGCCCATATTAGCAGTTGACCCACGCCAAAGGCGCTCAAGCACCAGCCAAAGACTGTGTGTACAAAATTAAATTAGTTGTGGATCTAATTGGGATTAGAGTAGAGCTTACCATAAACGCCTGACTGATAGGTGTAGTCCTTGTACTTTAGTGGCTCATACAGCGCCAGCATGTAGACCAGTATGATGAACATTAGCAGCGGTGTTATCACGGCCCAACAGATGCGGTAATAGATGGACGTCTTTATGCCCAGCATAAATTCTACATCGCGACAGACACGCTTTACGCCGTACACCCAGCCAATGGCAAGCAGCTCAAAGATGGCCAACACCAGGGCCACAAATGTGGCACCAAAGAAGTCCAACAAATTCAGTATGAACTGTCCACCGGGTGTGATATATAGCAGACCCAACAGATATCCTACAATCGATATGAAGACCACGATGTGCCACTGTTTGATCTGCGTAAACTGTTCCTTCAGCACGGTCGTCAGGCAAGAGACCATGCCCACGTTGCTGCCAATGCCCAGGACAAAGAGCATGAGGAAGAACAGCACCGAGAACACCTGCGGCAGCACTTTGAACTTTGCTATAGCATCCGGATAGGATATGAAAGCCAGGCCCGGCCCGCCATTGACCACACTCGATATATCAGTTGTGTTGTTCTCATAGGCCAGATTGCCCAGGATGCCAAAGATGATGATACCGGACAGCAGCGAGGTGAAGGTGTCCAATGTGGTCACAATATTGGCATCTCTGTAATGTTGATTTCCAGATTTCAGAAAGGATTCACAATGTTGATTTTAATAAATGAAGGCCCAGAACTTTGGATTTTAATGATTTCAAATTTTAAATAGAATTTTCCTTATGAATCGAGGATCGACTTGATTGAGAGTAAGAATTATTATGATTTATACGCTCTCACTTTACTCTTTTTCGAAAGACGTTCATGCTATATTTTTTGGTGAAGAACCATAAAATAAATAACTCACCTATATATGTTCTGGCCAAATCGGTTGTAGGAGGCATACATGATTATATTGCCAAAGCAAATGGCTAGCGAGAAGAACACCTGGGTGACAGCTGCATACCAGACCTGCGGCTCGAGCAGCTTGTGCCATTGCGGCTTCAGGAAGTAAAGGACACCATCAGTGGCACCCGGCAGAGTCAGCGCACGCACCAGCAATATGAGCATAACGACATAAGGGAACAGTGCAAGGAAGTATGAAGCCTTGCCAGAGCTTTTGACGCCACGGAACATAATGCCCGCTATAATGAGCCAAGCGACAGCCAAAGTCAAAGATAAAGTCCAGCTGGGATAACCGATGCCATCATCAATGCTTGACTTCTCACGCAAAATGATGTTGCTGAAGGAGCCGATAGAGAAGACGCATTGATATCGCACATTTTGCAAGCCGATTTACTTACGTAAAATAAAACTCAGCTGAGGTGGTGCGCACCGTTGACTGATTGCCACCCACCACGCTCTCCTGCTGTGGTGCCGAATCCAGACAGCTGGGACCCCACTCTTCGCGACAATAGCTCCACGGCAATGTGGGATAAAATGATTCCACAAAGTAGCGCAGCGTGAGCGCCATTAGGGTGGCGTAATAGGTCGTCACAATACCTGTGGCCAGCACCTGGCCATAGCCGATGCCTGAGAGGAAACTGTTATTACAGATATATATACACACACACACACAGTAACATGTACAACCCGGCATACTCACCTCGTAATATGGGCACAAAGTCGTACACCTTGACGCTGCCTCGACTCGAAAACTGTCCCAGCAACATTTCCAAATAGTAGACCGGCTTGCCCACCAGTATGAGCACAATGAGGTAGGGTATCAGGAATGCACCACCCCCATTTTCCAGGGCAATGAAGGGGAATCGCCAAACATTGCCCAGGCCCACGCTCAGCGCAATGCAGGACATGAGAAACTCAATATCATTATTCCAGCCATCTCGTTGCTTGGCCTGCTCCGCATCCGCTGCAGCGGGCGGCTCCTGTGCCTCGTTGGCTTTGATGCCATTAGTGAGGTCTTTCAATGGTGCTGGGCCTTCCGCTTGGGTCTTATAGGCACCAGGTATGGATATGGTAGAGGCATTCAATGAGCCGACATACGCGGGATTGAGGTAACCATTGTTGTTGTTGCTGCTCTGCTCCATCGTTGTTGTTGTTGCAGCTGTAAAATCAATCAAAAGCGCGCCACAAGCGAAGGTTAACTCTTATGGTCAAGTTGTGTGGTTCAATACTAATTAAAATACTACCGACTACGCGGCAAGTGAAGCGGACAACCGGTTTGAATGCCCAACAAAAACAAGCAACAAATATAAATGCAGCAAAGTCAGTGACCCACTGACTCAAGTGTCGATTGTATAACAATTTGTGTCGTTCATTTACTACGAAAAAGCATCAACTGAGTGCAGTTTAAAGTCGGCGACATAGGGATTCCCTATGATATACTAAATTAGACTAAATAAGATTTTATATATCGGTTTAAATTTAATTTGGTTGTCCTTTATATAGTAGATCGAAGATAAAGCGTTTGCCCCATAACCCTTTAAGCTCATCTGATATAAACAAAATATAAGCTAGGGATCCTAAGATCTAACAAGAATATGCGCTAATAGCTTCAAAGATTGATATATTTGTAAGATGAAGAGATTGTTAAGAAAAATGAAAACTAATGAGTTAATTGATAAGCTGATAAGCTTAGATATACTTGGATATGCATTCAATATACTCTTTATAATCTTTGTACTGATGATTAACATAATCATTATACCCATTTTGACTAAAGTTCAGCGAGTGCAGAGTGTATTGAAAACTGCATTTAACCAATAAAATTGCAGCGGTTTGTTGTCAGTTACCAGTTTGTAGGGCCAAACGAGTTTCTCAAGCGGGTTTCGGGTTGACTACCATTTGCATCTTTTCTCACCTAACTTGGATTTGGCTTTTGTTTACATTTCACTTTCTGAGACTTGTGGGATTATATGAATATCATTGAGCTTGTCTTGGATAACTGGAGTATCTAATTACCATAAGTAAAGATTTGTTTTTAAGTTTGCAATGTTAACACGTTACACAGCACACTATTAAATATCAGTTAATGGATAGCCATTTTTTATTTCCTTAATTGTGTGCAATATTTTCTTATTTCAATACTGAATTAATGATAAGAAAATAATAATTCGTATATTAACAATTGTGGGTTTAAAACAGGTCAGTTTTTATTGGACTTCGTTTAAAATTCATAAAGGTTTGATAACAAACGGTTTTTAATCTAAACAGCAGGCAGTCTATTTTTTTTTTTTTTGACTTGAAAGGGAAATTCTCAGTAATCTATTAAAAAATAAAACGTTGCTAAAAATACTTTAACAAAGGCCGAATATAATCATTTTTATTCCCAATTTCTTAGTATTTTATTGTGCAAAGCACATACTATAAATGTTGAAAGCAATAATCACAATAATAAAGAAGCAATAATTCACTGTTTGACGGTGCTTATGGAGTGAACTCAGTAATTGCTTTGCAATAATTTCTTCAAATCTTAAGTGCTTTTTATAATAATCTCTTTATCCTTTACATGCGCTATTTATATAAGAAATTGTAATTTCACTAGGTTTTTACCATGTCTGTCCTTACTGTACTGTCTGTTATGCTTATTAAAGACTAGAAGTTTTAAGCATGTCGTTGAATTTTCGTCTGATAAAGCGTCAAGATTAATTGGATATTGCGAATTAATATGACAGTTTTGAATCTAGATACATGACAATATTAATTAAAAATCTTAGCAGGCGGATCTTTAGACATCTCTGCATATCGATCAATATGTTATAAATGAAGCAAATAGAAATATTCGAATTTTGAATGAAAGTAAAAGTTTACGAGCTCTAAATAAGTACTATGCAGTCGGTTGTGCTCCGCCGTAAAGTTCCCATTTGCTTTTAATTATGATAGACAACGCTGTTGAAGTTGATAAGCTATAGATAACTTTTGATCAATTGTGTTCTGAATTCCACAGTTGCCAAGTCTTGTTAAGATATCTTGAATCATAAAGATTTACTATGCACTTTCTACGTCCCGGTTATCGCTGTCATGAATACAGAACGATATGTAAGAAAAGAGGAATAAAAGCCTTATGGGTTACATAAATATGTAACCCGTGTTGCTCGAATTATTCGCATGCATTAAGAGTTTCTTAAAATAACGAATATTCAAATTAGTGAAATTCAGGTTAAACAAACGAAGAGAGCGAGAACTTGTAAACTGTAGTTTATTATTTAAGCCCATAAATGTACGTAGTAACTGCTGTTCATAGTAATCAATTGTAATTTATATATATATTAATTGATATATGGAATGTTTACTACTATATTTATAAGACACATGCCAGTTTCGATAAGTATTATGACTTTTTTCTGTACAGAAGTCTTCGTATTTCATATTTATAGCTGTAAGTATGACAGATGTGGAAAGGGTATTCATGTCAATCTCATAGTCCTAATACAGTTTTCACTGTTGATTTTTTCAATTTTTTCGTTTATCTTTGTTACTATTGTTGTTGTTGATGTTGTTGTTATTGCATCAGCATTGCATTTGCGCATGCGCAAAGCGAAACGCGTTGCAGCTGCGTGTCGTCAAAGTTATTGTTGCTGTTGCAATTGTTGGTGCTGCTATTGCTGTTGTTGCTGCTCTTACTGCATTGTTGTTCTCGTAGTTAATGAAAAGTGAAGGTGTATAATGCCGTTGCCCTCGCTGCGAAATGTCAGCGTTACGTTGTAACCAGGGACGTGAGACGTGCTGCTCGTAATTACAGTACAGTAATTACAGTCACCAAAAGCACGTTTCTAACTAGTATTTAAATGACTATTCATACAGCTATTTGTATCTATATTTTAAATGAGACACGCGAATTCTTTGTTATTGTTTGGCGCCAGAACAATTTAGAACATTAACTATTTGGACACGTTTGGCTGGATATAAATTTGTTATCGTTGCGGGCGATGCAAACCGAACTGTGGAGCACAGATAAGGCTTTAACCAGACAAGGCTAGCTTGTTATGTTCATATAGAGTAATAAAAGTAAACAGCACAATAAAGTTTTAGTTGTCCCAGACAATGGAACACAAAGTTTTTGCTGCTTAAAAAGAATTTTAACAGATATTCGCCCAGAGATACAATTTCTGTTAGTTGGGATTCATGAAAGCCAGTTTGTCGGCTTTTTCAAACCTTGACCCATAAAACGTACATTATTATTTGGTTTATTATGCAGCACATATAAAAATGTCTCTAACAAGCGAAATTTCTAACTGTTTCAACAGTTGGCCTCTGGCGAAAACCAGATAGTTTGTTCTCTGTTTTGTTTATCAGTTTGTGTTTATTTTACTCTTTTTAATTTTTATTATTCACGCGACTGGAATTCTGTTTAATTCTCATTATTTCGAGTTATTTGCTTAACGATTAAGCCGCAACTATTGACAAACCAACTGTTGCCGGCGCATTATCTACAGATGCCAGAGTTTCAAACTCTTAACATACGAATTTATTTACTTTTTATTTTATGTAAATTTATTACATACAGCAGATTTGGCTGTTTGTGAGCACGTTTATCACACGTCAGTTTACCAATTTGGCTTTAAGCCTCAACTGTATAACTGGCTTTAAGCATATGTCAAACAATTTATCATAATTTTTGACTCGAGCACATTTCCAACTGCTCAATTATTTAAATTATGGAGCCCCGTCTGCATAATTAATTGTCATTAAGCCACAGATAGACGAATCTAATTTGCTTTATATAATTTTTGATATATTTGCAGAAAGATTTTCAGGTTTATTTTTGAACTCGATTTTAAAACAACGAACTGCACGCGTCAAAAGCCCAGTGATCACTGAACGAACTGCTTGGGCCTACAGAAACGCTGTCTATAACGTCGAAAACAGACGCCTCGCTGGCAGCGACGCCGCAACTGTGACGCTGGCGGCGACTGCGACAACGTAAAACGGAAGAAATTACTCACAACTTGACCTAACATAAGGTAAGCTGGGCGCAAAAAAGAAAAAAATTTACAAAAAAAACCAAAATAAAAGGTAAAATACCTGTATTGAAAGGCAAATAGGTCACAACTTTTCCATACGCTCTGTCTGTCTGTCTTTGTCTTGATTGACTTGGCAATGCTGAACACGTGATCCGTGTCAAACGCTTAAGTAATTAATAATAAATTATATAAGCCGAATATTTTGTTTGATGTCTGATTGACGGTATTTAATTTTGAATATTCATATAACGATAGATTTATTTCAGTTTGTGTTTATTTATTTATTTTTATACAGGTCTTTGGACAACAAGTGATATTTAAATAACATCGTATGTTTTGGGTTTTTTTTGTTATGTAAGCTTAAAAAATATTTTTAATTATTTCTTTTTAATATTAATTTTAATTAGCTTCAACATGTTTATATGTGACCCAAGCTCAAATAAATTCATGTATTGGGTGAGATTTTCAAGTTACTCTTAAAATATTTTTTAATCTTGAATATACATTGTATTCCTTAGTAAAAAAGGTAAAATAGTTGGGTTGGAGTGTCGTTAATCTGTGTTGGGGGTGGCTGTAATCGCTGAAAGCCAATTTAGATGACAATCAATTTTCTGTATAAAAAAGATTACCTGTAAGCCACATTCTGATAGAACGTGGGTTTTTTGTGTAACAATTGTCAACAAGTGTATTTATGTATTATCTTGACGACTTTACTCAGAAATGGTTTTATTATCGTATTGTTGATTTCGATCGCTGTCTAGACAATACAGTTAGATTAACTAGACTACAGTAAAGAAAGAAAAAACAAAAATAACTTTTATTATATAGAGTTTGAACTGCCAAATAGAACGCATTCAAATAAATATAATAAATATTGTGCTTTAATAAAAAAAAACATCACATATTTAATTATATGTTGAACAAAAGGATTAATTTTTGCTGGTCACCGCCATGGGTAATTAAGTTATCAATTAACTCAACTGCATATGTAAATTGTCCAATGTGATAGCTAACCCGTTCGGCATTCAATTCGATCTTTATATTTATGCCCAACATTTTTTTAACAAAGAGCAAGAGATAAGCTGGTTAAAATTATTAAAAATGAATTACATATTAAATAGTGAGAACAAAAAAATAAAAAAGAAATCAGTAATTAAATTACCAAAGAGACAGAGGGAGAGAGGCAAATAGCGAATGCACAATAAAAATTATTTATTGATGCGGGCACGATAAATGCAATTTAGTATGCTCTTCAAGCATTGATATATATGTATATGTATAATTGAATTGTTTAACGTGTAATCAATGTATAACGCAACGTCGCTCTCAGCAAATGATGAAATAATTTCTGCTGCGGTCAACTTCGTGTTAATGGCCCAAAAGCAAATTGTGCTTAAAGCAAAACTTTTTTGCCTGAATAAACATTAGTTGCTGCCAATTTGCATCCAATTAAAATTTAGTTGTTTTACCACATAGACACTCTTGCTTTTTCTGTGGCTTTAGCCACATTTTGCATGTACAATACTTGCAGACTTTATGCACAATTGTTGTTATATTTTTATCATACAATAATTATATAGCGACCCATATAAACACTTGCACAAGCAAGCGGAAATAGCTGGCCAGGGGGATTCTTATCGGTCGCCGGTGTCTGCGTTTGCTTAAATGGAAGAAGATATGTACTATTATATAAATAAATATATGTATGTTCACAATATAATCAGTTGAGTCTAATAAGGTTTTTTTTCCGCAGCTGAGTGCAACAAACCCAAAATTTCTAGTTATTTTTCATTTGTGTTTAAAGGACGTTGAATTAACAAAAAATGACTCAGCTGAAGCTTATGGAATTTTGCTTTTTAATTTAATTTGAAAAATATAAATGTAGTAAAACTTAAAAAACATATATATTTTAAAATATATAAATAATATTTATATGAAAAATAATTAAGTAAATTTAATTTTAACTTATATAAATAGGATGGCAAATATAAATTAATATTTGCAGAAAGAAAATAATCTGTTTTTGTCTAAAAATATTCAAATTTATTTTGGATAAAACTTAAAATAATAAATCAAATATATATAAATATATAGGTTATATGAATTAAAACAGGCAAGTGCTCGACTAGGTGATACCCAGATACCTGTCCGATCTGCGTTAAATATTTTTAAGCTCGTGTCTAGCATGAAAAAAATCAAGAAGAAAAACTGACAACATTAAGACATAAAGACAAAACTCTGCTACTCAATTCATGTTTGTGAAAAGAAAAACCACCAACACTGCCACTGCTTAAACAGTCACATGCGTGCACATGTAGAGAAAAATGCTTACGCTTGGCGCTGCTTGCCACGTGGTTTTGCGAATTGGCCAAAGGTTTCGTTTGATAACTTGTCTTACTTAACGGTTTTCATGAAATTGTAAGTGTATTATTTATATTGTATTACTGTATTGGATAACTTTTCAATTTAGTAAAACTGTAAACTCCTTTACATATTGACCTTATTTCCAACTGAATTTAAATTTAAAGAATGCATTCAAAATTCGGAACCGTATCCAAAAAATAACATAAACCAAAATTTTAGAAAATTTACATAAAACTAAATACAAAATTTGGAGAATCTAACTCTTAAACCGTACAATAGTCAACGACTATTTGAATCAAACTTAGTATGCGCGTATTTGCATAGCCTCAAGCTCTTATAGCAGCGCAGATGCGTTCACATATTCGGACAGGCCTAAACGACTCGGTTTGTCGTCCTGACCAAGAATCCATATATTCTTGCAAACATTTTAATACAACCAGCTTTAGAAAGATACTAAAATAGAAAAATAGCAACATTTTAATATTTCAATTAATATTACAAGAACAAACAACAATGAAACATAATTTGGGATATCTCGCATTTATTATTTTATTTTCTAAACATTAATTTTTTATATAGAAACATTTTAATAAAGAGAATTATGTGTACACGTCGATGTCGATGCCCATTTATTGTTTAAACTTATTTATTCTACCTCTAAAAGATCGTCTAATTAAGTTGTCTGCTTTATGGCCGCAACAACCCATTACATATTCAACGCAAACTTAAAATATCACCAATTACCTCAATGCTAATTTAGACATGCAGCCAACTGCGAATTTATGGCCGAGCAGAACGCTGAAAACGCTACTTGATGTCGACTCCAAGTAAAAGCCACTTAGAAATGCGTCCAGTCATTTATCAAGCGTCGGTTGGGCATAAATCTTGGCTAAGCAAATCGCAATGACAACTGCTTAACTGCCACCAACTGCCGACTGCCAAAGGTAAACGACAAATATCCAAAGGTAAACGCTAGAGGCTGCCGCCGCAATTCTGTTGTCCTGCCGCACTCAATTGCTGTTGTTTTTGTTTGTGTGTTTTGGCAGTACATTAAATTTTATAGCATTTGGACATTAAAAAACAAAAGAGACAAATGTCAGAGCGTAACTGTGAAAACAGATGGTTAAAGATTTTCGGGTCAGCAGCAGGGCAGACAGATTGCGCATACGCCGCGTTTGCCAGGTGGCAGCTTGTTGTCACTCTTGATTTATGCAATGAGGAGCATTAAGAATTGATGCTTTAAGTTCCAAAAGGCTGATTTTGCTTCAGTTACCATTATGGCATAATAAATGCTTCCTTGGGGTGTTGTTCTAAGCGTACTGGATTAGAGAATTGTTCAGCTTTAAAGTTAACTTAAAAATAGATATTGATTAAGTGATTTTAGGTATTTAGGCTTTTCATTTGAATAAGAATCTGGCTTATATGTACTATTCGGGAGTGCCCGACTAGCAGATATCTTTCCATGAGTTCAGGCCAATAAAAGTTTAGTTAAGCAAGCAATTCTACTTGTTTGGCTTTCTTCAGACCAGATAGCGAAAGTCTTATTAACCTAATTGAATTGGACAGCTTAGAACTTGCACACATCTTATCTTATTTAAAACAAATCTAACACAAACTTAGTTCAAGTTGATTGTAAAAGTTTTGGTCTGACAAATTAGTTTCAACTCGAGTAATCTCTCCGACTGTCTCGGCATGTGTCGAATTACGTTTGGGGGTCAGAGTTCACCTGAGCAATTTGTCTGAGCCAGCTACAAGTATATTGCATTAGCTATGCAGTCGCAATTGTGGCAGAGTGTGTGTGCCACAAGTGTTAGATTGTTGGCAGTTTATTGTTGCATACTTTTCGGCTGGCATTTGAATATATAGTGCATTAATCATACGCCCCGTGCTCGACAACTACACATAATTGAGCTGTTGCTGCTGCTACTGAAATTGCCTTCTTTTTGGCTGCAAGCTGCGGCCGAGGCATATCACGCATACGCCACATTGCACATATCGCAACAGCAATATATTAAGTCATTGTTAGGTCCCCCGTAAGCGACTGTTAAAGCCAAATTCTATAACAATGTGAGGCACGTTGGTGTAGTTGTTGTTGCTGTTTTGTTCTATTTCTACGCCAAGTGCCGCCGGCGCTGCCATAAAAATGACTAAAGCACACGCAGCAGCAACAGCAACAACAACAACCACAATGAGAACTCAACTCTACTCGAGTTGACTCCAGACGCATGCCAAGCGCAGCGCATTTCGTGCGTATAAAAATCTGCAATTCATGCAATTTTCATGGAAAATTTGCCACGCAAAAAGAAAAGTCAAAATAGAACAACAACATACTTTTGGTGGTGCATGTAAGAACGCTTGTTTGTGGGCGTGTGTGACTGTGTATGAGTCTCTCTCTGTGTTTTGAATGTCAAAATATTTGTGTGTTTGGCATTTTAAGCGTTAAATTTTTGCTGTCAACATTTCCACTCGTGCCAGACAATGTCATTCACTTGCCGCTGTGGCTTGGGTAATTCTCTGGCGGCTCTTGCACCAACTCGAGCTCTAGTCAGAAAATATAGCAACAGCAG